GCCCAAATGCTGTGGACACGTGATTTTTCCCACGTGTGACGTCAGCAAAGGGTCAAAGGTTGTCTGAAGTCGATATCACCCCCCGTCGCGGTTGAGCGATGGTTGAAATGCCCTGATGGTTGAAGTGCCCTAACATATCCTAATTACTCAAACAACAACGGCCAGCACAAGTCTCTGATAAAGTGTTACAATCGAGTGGGCTAATCACAAGTTTCGGAATTTTTTCTAATAACAAAACGATCTTTTATATATTTACCTATTTTTGCATTGTGGGAATCATTACATGTAAAGATACATTCAAAATCTGCCTATAGCATCGAGACTCTTGAAATCTGTTGTACTTGATTCGAGAAATGTGAATAGCTTATTACGTAAAACATCATATTTAGTGCATTCCATACCAAAGTGAAATTCATTTTCAATAATAATAAGAAGGTGTACTGTATTTCATGTGTGGCGTCGGGTGGTGTAGTGGTTAGAGCAATCGACTATGAACCGGGGAGACCCGGGTTCGATTCCGAGTCGTACCCGGGACATGTCTGAACATGCGCCCCGACGTTGCGCCCTTGGGAAAGGCACTTTACACGACTTTCCTCACTCCACCCAGGTGTGAATGGGTACTAACTTCGGTTGGGGAAAGTCGTATTGAGGTCACCTTGTGGCGCCGAATGGCAGCCGCACAGACCCTTGGGGCAGTTCCACAAAAATAATTGTGGAACAAATATGTGTATCATGTGTATTATTTGATTGTTTTAATTGTTGTGATTTGTATTGATTATTATGTGATACCCTACATCAATTCAGTCGTATAAAGGCTGCGACTGCACGGGTACTGTTTGGACAATAAAAACCATTTAATTATTATTATTATTATTTCAGGGGGTATTTTAGGGGGATCAGATATAGGAATCTTGAATCCGCAAATTAGTCCAGCGTACGAGGATCTACCGGAATGTGAGATCACGCAGTTCGCCTGCCCGTGCGCGGGCTCAGTGGATGGATGCTGCATCATGGCCAACTGGGTCTGCGATGACTTTGACGACTGCACAGACGGCAGCGACGAGGCAGTCTGTGAACTAGAAGGTGAGCAATCTTTATCGTCATCTTCATCTTTGCCGGGGCTCTGAGATGTTATGTGAGCCCCGGCTACACCCCCATATAGCCCCTGATGGGGCACTTTAGGGGGGAGGGGGGGAGGCCTTGGTCTAAGGCGGGCAGGCCTCCAGCCTGGCCCGGATGGACTCAACGGTGGGAGCCATGACGACCGGGCCAGGCAAGGCGTTCCATTGTGGGATCGTGCGGGGAAAAAGGGAATATTTATAGACGTGTACGTGCGTGTATGGGTTGGTATTTATACTGATGGCTCCCTCGGATACGCCCTTGAGCTGGCCTGAGCAGGTTATCGGTAGGAATATTGTTAATAACTTTGTGAGCTATTTTGTAAAATGTTATGAGGCGGGCTTTCCTCCTCCTTTCGGAGAGGCGGGGCCACTGCAGGTCGTTGAGCAATCGTGGATAGTACGGCATCAGTGATTGGTTGATTACCTTCGTGAAAAATGTGCGTTTGGAACTGCATTGTTGAATCTGTTCTCAGTTCTCTGTAACTGCGTAACTCCAAATCCAGTACGTTTGGGACCGCATTGTAGATACATTTCCCTGTAATCATGCATATGTGTAGATATGTAAATATTGTACATTTGGGAATGCACATCTATAGCAGTGACACCTGTGCTGCAATGCAATGTGAACCAGTCAGAACTGCCCCGAGGAAGGTGACAGACGGTCACCGAAATGTCGGCTGAATAAAAGACTTGTTAGTTTTTTTAACGGTGTCGCTCAATGCAAGGCCATTGGCCACTTCGAGGCTTAGAGCTAGCCTGTAGCAGCAACTCTTCACCCTGAGTCAGAAACATCCTCACAAGTAGTGAGGACTAACTGGCCCAATAGGAGAAGCAGGGGTTACGAGGCTGGTCGGGAAAATTCCCTACCCCTTTTTAGATAATGGTTTGTTCCATTTCCGCTCACGTGGGTTCTTTAACGTGCTTGAGGTGTGTCTCTCCTCAAACACGGGACCTCCATTTTAACGTCCCATCCGGTAAGACGCCCCTAACCGAAGCTAGGTACTCATTTTCACCTGAGTGAAGTGAGGAAAGTCGTGTAAAGTACCTTTCCAAAGGGTGCAACCTCGCGGCGCATGTTCGGACTTGTTACGACCCGGAATCGAACCCGGGTCTCCCCGTTTCATAGTCCAGTGATGTACCACACGACGCCACCCGAGCGTTGTGTAGAAAGAGTCTTTTTACTCAAATGGAGGTATTGTCTTTGACCTGTCTCACTCTGTCTCACGCCACCGCAGGGCAAAACAAGTCAAGAGTCTATGATCTGATTAAGACACCAAATTATTTGAAAATTGTGTAAAAAATGCCAGCAGGACAAGAGTTGATTGTACTTTTTTGTGTGGCGCTGTTAAATTTTAAAATAAGTTATTGGCCCTTGTTATTATTGTATTGTTATGTGTTGATAGATTAAACAACGCTCGAAATGAATTGACTATTCAAACTTCTACAATTTATCCCAATTTCTCTAAACTTACAGACCAAGAAAAAACTACTAGTATTCTTCTTTTAACTTCCCCAAACCCACAAATTTTGGAAAAGGTGGGACATTACGTCTTCCATGGTTTACAGAAGAGAAGTCAAACCCTTCAGACATAGTTTTAGACATAGTTATAGTTCTAGACAGCTACCTTTATCATGTAGACTTTAGTTATTATATTTCAGTCCATACCATGGTATGGATGAAATATATTGTGTTCTCTCATGTTTCTTCTTCTTCTCCTTCTCCTGCCAAACAGTCAAAGGGATTCAACTCCGCCATCATTCAGCCAAATGACTTGAAATTTGGCATGGAGGTAGAGTGGGCCAATACCCCCAGGCGTTTGTTTCATTGTTTTGATACATGCCTTTAAAAAATTTTTATGAAGGTTTTTTGGGGCATTTTTTGCCAAAAAATGGATTTTTGGATCCTGAGCCCTGGTTTTACAACCAAATGATCTGAAATTCGGTATAAGGGTACCTTGAACATGTGTCTACAGAATAGCAGTCACATATTTGGCATACACCACTACCAAATGACTCATTTGGGGAACTTTAATGGCAATTTTCAGCAAAAAAAGGGCCAAAAGTGCTATACCCGTTCCATGTTCTATCTAAAGAATGGTCCGTTCCATCTGCCGTTTTCTATGGAACACGTGTTCCATTGCGGGTTACCTGAGGTCACATTGCACATAAGTCGTGCGTGATGACCCACACATTCAATTTTATGTGCCTAAGACCTTCAAAATGTATCAAATCTCATCATTGTTAGTATTTGCATACCTGTAATAAGATTAGTAAAGCTTTCGAGATTCAAAGTGCTTGTTCTTGCATCTTTTCTCTCAATTACATAGCTACTATTTAATTCATTTATTTGAGAACCTTTGCCAGTTTTGCACTGGGGTAAGTTTGGAATAGTCCACTTTTGCGTGGGAGGGAGATGGACTGAAATATGCTGTATTTGCTCCCAAGCAAATGTCGGCCTTTCTAGTATTGTATATAGCTACACTTATGATACATTTATTCAATCAAAACAAACATCTGCCATGTTTCTGCCATGTATTGTGCAAGTGCTGAGTTGTAGTACTCTTGATGCAACATGTAACATCATGGCTCATCCAGCAAGTGATATATGTACCGGTATGTGACAGATTCGATCGTGCAATCTTACCGTTGACCTTGACCAAGTTGATCTTGTAATTAGGGCAATTAACGTTCAATTTGATGACATTCTGTGGATGTAACATATTGTATCTAATACTAATAGAAGATAACATAATGCTGTACACTGTGGAAGTCTATGAAGTATGTTGCTTAGTGGACTAGTCTAGTACTAGTATTTACAATGCTATATCATGCATATATATATGACTTCGCGGTTACCCAAAATATGGACTTTTTGACCTAAATTTAATCCTTTATGGAAGAAGTACAGGTAAAATAACTGTTTTTATGTAAAAGAAGACTAATGGGTGTTGCTGTGTCTGAAATATTGGAAGACAGGTCTGTTCCCATAAAAAAATACAGGTGTGTGAACCTTGGAGGATTTTCCCCCCTCTAGGGGTCAAAGGTCTCGCTACCACCTGACAGATTTGTCGGGAAAAGCATATTTTGACCCGGCATATATACATAATAGAATGTCGTGGAAGTCTGGAACTCTGTGATGTGACTCAATGTAATACATATTATCAATAAATAAGATAAAATAAGATTTTCACCATTTACTTATCTTTTAATCACCCTTCAAAAATGGTAATTTGTTCATTTTCTCAGTTGATTTCACAATTTGGAGGTTAACGAGGTCAGATTTTGGCAACTTCGTGGAGCCATATCTCAGGAACCGCTCAAGATATTGACCTCATTTAAAAAGCATTTCACTCACCTTGATAAGCTCTTCCAGAAACTGTAAGAATCATCTCTGTATTATGTATTTGAAATTTTGGTTGGAATACCTACTTTAAAGTGATATTATGTAGGATTTTCGCGCCAAAACTGAAAATACAAATAATTGAAATTTTCTCATGTAGATTGTCATTTTCGATAACTTTCAACGTATTAGCGTCGCTATTTCGCCTTTTCGGCAACTCAGCGCAGCGCGAGAATAAGTTGCGCAAGGCCAGACGTATTTATGTGTGCCACAATAAATAGAATGTAAACAAACAACGGTTTTCGTTCGGAAATCTTCGGCAACTTCCGGCGCGTGTCTTGGTTCCATGGTTCGAACGCTTTCGAACGCTGGAGTTCGAAGCCGATTGACTTCAAATTTGCCAATTTTTGAAGGGTCAGTACCTAATCTAAAATCCTCTTTTTTTTTAAAAAGATATCATGTCACTTATCATATTGCATGTGGTAACCACATTCATACAGTTTCTCATCCAAGGAACGAAGTTTATGACATTACGCTAAATGTATCAAAATGTTGCGGAAACTCAGGATGGTGTGCGCCGGTAGCTACAACTGGGCTAAAATTTCGTCACCGCGATGTGTGCACCGTCGCGGTTTTCTTTGGGGCAAACCCGTTTGTCCTAAAACTAACCAGGGGACTTTGGTATCGATGTAAAGGGGAAGAAGTGGGCTATCACACTGTGGTATGAGCTAATGGGATCCAGTTGGCCAGTAAAAAAAGATAAGCACAGATAAACTGACCAAAAATGCTAATGTTTGGAAGGCCATAACGATCGGTGTCATTTTGTAATGCACGAAATATCTACATTGTTGTACTAGGCAAATCCTGTAGATATGAAAAAGTATAAACGTTACGTATGTCTAAGGTGTTTTTGTTGCACTATTGACAGTTGTCAAATCGTGACCCGGCATATGCCGTATTTTAGAGAATAACGTGTTCTACGGTGACCTGCGGTTCGGCTGGATTCGGGAATGCTCGGACGCGGTCGGAAGTAAACAAACATAGCCGCGATCCGCGCTAGCGCCGCGGAGTGCGCAGTTTTCCAACGCGTATTTGCGGCGAAACGACGTTGATATGTTAATCCCCAAATGTCATCATGAAGTCAGGTAGGTGTAAAGAGCAAGAAAATGTGTAAAAGAAAGATTTTAAAATTCTACATAATTTCACTTTAATGGCTATTTTCAGCAAAAAAAAGGCCAAAAGTGCTGTACCCGTTCCATGTTCTATCTAAAGAATGGCCGGTTCCATCCATGGAACAGGTGTTCCATTGCGGGTTACCTGAGGTCACATTGCACCTAAGTGGTGCGTAATGACCCACACATTCAATTTGATGTGCCTAAGACCTTAAAAATGTATTAAATCTCATCATTGTTAGTTTTTGCATACCTGTAATAAGATTAGTAAAGCTTTCGAGATTCAAAGTACTTGTTGTTGCATCTTTGTTCTCATATAGCTACTATTTAATTTATTTGAGAACCTTTGCCAGTTTTGCACTGGGGTAAGTTTGGAATAGTCCACTTTTGCGTGGGAGGGAGATGGACTGAAACATGCTGTATTTGCTCCCAAGCAAATGTCGGCTTTCTAGTTTTATACTCTATTTCATTGTTCTTTTATGTTTCGTAATTTGCAATTAGGCCACACCAAGTAAATTTTATGGATGACGTCCTTTGGAGACCCTAAATCTAATGCGAGAGGGCGAAAAAAACAAGAAGGGCCATAAAAACAAGATGCCTAGATTAGAAATATACGAAATATTAGAAAGAGACGACAAATGTTAGGACACAAATTGAATGAGGTGACACAGTGTAACAAGCAAGAAGTCTTTTATTCATCATCAAAACAGCAATAGATCAGGTGGAACAGCAGTTGTCGTCCTGTCCTGTTTTCGCGTTACGGGTTTCGCGTCAATCTGACGATTTGTGGCACTGTCGTGAACAGGCCAAAATCAATGCGCGCGCGGACGTCATCCATAAAATTTACTTGGTGTGGCCTTAGCCTCCGGGCACGAATTTGCAATAAACTTTTCATTAAAAAAACTTGTACGTGTTCTTCAGACGAGGGAGATTGGATTGCCGTGCAGGGAGGTTGGATCTTGGACTCTATCGGACAGAACGCTGCGTACGCCGTGGCGGACTCGTCCAGAGGCAGCATCTGGAACGCGGGAGGACAGAACCAATACTACAACAACTGGTACATCGTCATGGACTTTCAGGTACGCGATTTTTTTTTTATTCCAACATATAATCACCAGACGTGGTGACGACACACTCATGTTTTTTCAACTTATGTTAATGCCGCCACCAACACAGGGGACAAATACATGACAGGACAATACTTATTTACACATGAGCTAAGAGAGGAAAGTCGTGTAAAGTGCCTTTCCCAAGGGCACAAGATCGGTGGCATGTCAGGACTCGAACCCGGGGCTCTTAGTTCCGAGTCGCGCACTCTGCCGCTACGCCACGACCCAACATGGTACGCGATTCCTTTCATATCAGCATGAAAGTTCATCTGAGTTGGTATATTACATTATGAAAAATGTTAAACTGTTCTCCAACTCATCAATTTGACTCACCGGAATTTTCGACCGAATCACTCAGTCTTCCTCAGCTATCTGACCCAGATGCAGTGGACACGTCTGAGGTGTCGCACCACATCCACATAGAATCACCAGGACACACAGTGGATCTGGAGGGGGTTAGAATCTTGGATACCGAAAAGGATTACTTCAAGAGAGGCATAAAAGAGGCCATATACATCAGGGCATTTCAACCATGCACCGCTCAACCGGGACGGGGGGCGATATCGACTTCAGACAACCTTTGACCCTTTCCTGGCGTCACACGTGGGAAAAATCACGTGTACACAGCATTTGGGCCAGATAGCTGAGAAAGACTGAGTGATTCAGTCGAAAATTCCGGTGAGTCAAATTTATGAGTTGGAGAACAGTTTAACATTTTTCATAATGATTCCTTTCATACATGGCAGCAATAACTCATTATGATTAGAGTTCAAACTTGTCATCCAACACAAAGAAGTTATCTCACATAGAGCTTTCTGTTAGTCGTTCTGGTCTTCTTCAATTAGTCTGACCCAGTTAGACTGTCACGTGGCTTCTTGAAGTGTGACGTCACACTGGGTCAAAGGTAATAGTATCAGGTAGGCGATGTCGGCCCCCGTCACGGTTAAGTGAGGTGTGATGGGACGAGCCCTGAGTCTAGTGAGGAAGACCAGAGTGACTGGTCTAAAGCTCTAGGTGAGAGAATTCGAATATCTTTGTGTTGGATCTTACGTTTTAACTCTAAACATGTGACTACCAACACAGATGAACTTTCATGACAATAACCCATTACGTTTCCGTGTTGCAGATGAGTTATGTAAACTATGTCATCAGTAACATCATTGAATCTTTGTGTTATCTTTCTCATACTGAACTTCTAACTCTAAAAGACGTTTGTCAAGGAAGTTAATCAATACAAGTACCAATCTAATATAAATGAAGTACAAGAGATAATAAACATGTTCATGTAACACAGCGTTACTGAGAATGAAGATATAGGAAGTACTTGACCGATTCCCCGCCCAGTGACGAATTAAAGCAAGGACACAATATCAGGCACAATTGAGTTGTAGAAGCTGTTTGTTGCAGTAACGTGTTGTTGAGTAAACCTTCCGCGGAAGGGTTTTGTGAGAGATTTAGATTTTCATGTTCGCAGCTGTTTCTCGCGTTTGGGTGGACGGATTCTTTTGAGACTCGGTATATGTTTTGCTATTGGGCTGCAGATAATGCACGTTCTTTTGTTTTTATTGTATATGTGTTTTCGGGCGTGAGAAGAACACCCCTTTGAGCTTGAAAGTGGTCGCGACCGTTGACCTTTGGCCTGTATTAGGTATTGTCGGCCTCGTCCACGAAGGTGACCCCTCGCACAGAGGGGTGTCAGGTCTCGATAAATTCTTTGTTTAAAAACCCTAGTCCTGCGGCGCGCAACAATTGTTGTTGTAAACAACATATAAAAATATACAATAAAAAGCCCGGAGGTATACAATCTCAGATTGTCCTTGTTGTGTCTTGCTTTAAGGTGCCTCACACTGTCCAGCATCTCCGCCTGATTAACTACGGAGACCTGTACCACGACATCATGTCCTTCCGTCTCGAAACCTCCCCGACCGCCGAGCCTTACCAGTGGACCGAGGTGTACTTCACCGACACCGCCCAGGTCGAACACTCCATCCCGCAGATCTTCAGCGGCTTCTCGGGGTCCGGCCGCTACTGGAGATTCACGGCTACCGAGACTTTCGAGGGATGGCAGCCATGGCTGAAGGACCTGAAGTTTCATGGATTCATCACTCCCGGTATGTATTCCATTTACCAGTTTCCCACCCCCAGAATGCTTCTCGAAAATAGGGGGCTAACCCTCATTTGCATAGGACAGGAAGGCAACGGAATGATCCTGTTTACGTTATTTAAACAGCTTGTTTTTCACTGTGTTTTGAGGTGTTGGGGCATTTTATGCTTAACATTAATTAAATTACTATGGGCCGAATCTGACAACAAATAGAGAATGAAGTTTTTGTGTTCTTTTTAACACGGAACATGTAGTTTGTAACGTTATAGCATCAGTATAGCGTTACCACTATAACGTTACAAACCACATATTCCAAAAAAATCACTATTTTTTCTCAGATTCAACCCATACTAATTCAATTAATGTTGAGCATAAAATGCACCAACACCTCAAAGCACAGAGTGAAAAACAAGCTGTTTAACGTCAACAGGATCATTCCGATGCCTTCCTGTCCTATGCAAATGTTTGTGGTTTGGACCCCAGGATTCGCAATGCATTTTGGGGATGGGAAACTCGTGAATGGTGTTAAGGAAACATACTTATCTCCAAGCAGATCTTTTGGTGGCTGCAAATACAATAAATGTATCAAATTGGCCAGGTAGTAACCAATAGCCAGGCAGTATCCATTGGCCAACGAGACATCGAGATACGAAATTGGGATCTTAGGCCATGTTGACTTGATAGTATTGATGTCATTCCAAATCTGATACGAGCGAGCGAATACATTTGTAAAAAAAAAAAGACAGATGTATCCGTCATTATGAAATCTACGTGGTCATGAAGGTTGAACAAATGACTAAACACACAGAGTATAGTATGGGGAATATAACAGACACTTCATTTTCATGTCTTCACATTTTTTTATATTTTCCTTTAAAATTGATTTTGGTATTCTACGACATTAGTATCGTTTTCCAATATTATTTTTGCATTTCACAGCAAATAGCTGCTCATTTTGCAGTTGCTTTGCACAGTTTATATACGGTATGGTCTATTTGCGTCAAACAGACTAAAATTCATGCGTGCATGTCATCCATATAATCAAATCAACATGGCCTAAATTTTAGATGTGTTGAGTGTTTGAAGTCACTATTGGGCGTCTTGTTACTTGAATTATAAATATTGATGTCAAATAACCCATTGTCAAATTAATAATTGTCAAATTGTAAATTATTGTTGTCAAATCACAGTAAAAACTAGATTAAGTGCACTGTGAACCAAGTAACAGTGCACTGTGCACCATGTAACACATTTAGTGCACTATGCACCATGTAACATCTAGTGTCAGTGCACAGCAAACCAATCAGAATTGCCCTGATGAAGATGACAGACGGTCATCGAAACGTCGGCTCGTAAAAGAATGGTTGCGATCAATGAACTTTGCTATTCATTCGTTTACCAACCTGATGAAATTATTTACGGATTGTTGTCAACATTTCAGAAGAAACCACCACAACTACAGCTCCTACAACCATCCCAACGACCACCACGGAAGCCGAGACAACCACCACTACCGTCGCACCGCCGATACCAACGACGTCAACCACACAGGCGACTACATTCACCCTCCCCACAGAGCCGGACAACAATTCCACCAGTCCGCCGCCCACGGCACCACTCATTAACGCCACACAGCGGATGGGAGAAGGCGGTGCAGTTGGGGCGAGCACGGGCGGGGCATCGGGAGGGGCGGTGGCGGGCGGCGTGGTCGGGACGCTGGCCGTTCTGGGAGTGGTCGGCGCCGCCGGAGGATACCTGCTGTACAAGAAGAAGCGAACAGCTGTGGAGCCTAAAGCCTAGCGAGTTCCTCACAAACTGCACGTTTAGATTTTTTTGTAAGGCCACACTGATTTAAGAGGGCCTGCATGGGGGGTAGTGATTACGAATTACGAAAAATTTTCGCCGCCGATTACGAGTTACGTTAAAGTCTCAGAGCTGATTATGACTTTACGATTTGCGGCTAATGTCCTATTACGAATTACGTTGATTTTTGCGGAGGCTGCCTACGGATTACGAAGTCTAAAAGGCCTGATTACGCCTTACGAAAAAGGGCATGCAGACCCTCATTTAATTTTATGGATGGCGCGCATTGATTTCCGGCTGTTCTGAAACTAGTAAAAGAGACCTCCTAGGCTCTGGCCTGGGTACTATCCTCTGTAGTCCATGGTAGCTAGCGACAATAGGGAGCCGGCGGTAACTACGGAGGATGGCACCCAGGCTGCCGAAGCTCCACGGAACTCAAGAACTCAGTACAGTGCCGACTCATAAATGCTGCAAAAGGCCAGCATGCCCTGGCTTGTCGTAAAAGACTCGCTATGCCAAAAAGTCAAAATACTAGCTTTGTATCCCTGTGGTCTAGCAGCATTTTCTTTGCTGGAATTTTTTATTCGCCTGCGCTAACTAATTTGGGTGGTCTTCAGAGGGTATGCCATCCATAAAATCGAGTCAGTGTGTCCAAAATTCAGTAAATACAAAGTGAGGACCAATTTATGTTTTTTTATCAACGATAAAGTTCATCACAAGTTAAGTCAAAATGTAAAATAACTACGCATGTAAGAATTAACTGTCCTTAGAAACCTACACATACACTTGGCACGATAGATATACATGGACCTTTCAGTGTGATCTACATTCGGTTCTATTATTGAAACTTGCATAGAAACCAGACACGACAAAATGAACATGTGGAATATGCTTATTTACAAGTTCGTGTTGTACTGTACTTCACTATACTACACCATACTATTCTACGAGATATACTGTGTGCGATTCTCTTTGCACTGCACAGGGTGCACACTATTTTATAAACGCGTGAATAGTTATATGGTTGGCAAGTCACTGAATATAAAAGAACATGCCCGTAGCCAGGATTTTGAATGGGGGGGTTCTTCCCACTGCTTGAGTGAACCTCGAGCGCCGTAGGCGCGATGCGAGCGCCGAAGGCGCGAGGTTCCTAGGGGGGTCCGGGGCATGCTCCCCCGGAAATTTTGAAAAATTAACCTTCTAAAATGGCATTTCGTGCATTTTTGAGAAGATTTCCAAGAAAAAAATCAGAGATAAATTTTTAAGGGACAAAGGGAGCAGTTTTTCTACGATTGCAGTCCATCTTTTTTCAAGAAAAATCTTGGACCTTTACATAAAATGTGGACCAAAAAGTGGACCTTTACATAAATGTGGGCCAAAACGTGG